GCCGTTAACGGTGGAATAAGTACCAGCTAGCTGGGAAACCAGCACCGTTGGATTTTGTGTTTGTTGTACCACACCGCGTGCGGGCGGCTTGCCAGGAGTCGCCATCATTGTAAAAGTTGCTGTGCTATGGTGCTTTCTGGCCCCGAGCGAATAGGCAACTCGCCCGCACACGAGCATGCTGTACCGTATCTATCTCTTATATCGAGCGAAGGCGGTTTTTATTTCCTCTGACATACCTAATACCTTGTCCCATTCGATTTTGTCAGCTTCTTTCTATCTTCCTCGATATTGCCGTCTCGCTCGCCTATGGCTCTAATCCTCGGCGGAGGAAATGGATGCTCGTCTGACGCGAGGCGAATAAACACCATCAGCTGCCGCCCGCCGTGCCGGCCGTGCCCGCCGCCGCCGCGCGTCCCTTTGCACGTCGCACGTTTGGGGTGGCGCGGGCGCGGGTCGCGCGTGATCGGCGGCCAGCTGTTGGCATTTAGCGCGATTGGAAACGGTTCCCATAGGGCGGGGGCGGGCGCGGGCGGGACACGCTGCGGGACGCGGCGGGACGCGCACCCGTAGGCACACAACGTTGGCAAATCTGCAGAAAAGTGACAATGGCTGTGGCTTTGTGCCGTCCGTGTCCATAGCCGCCGCCCCCGCGCGCGGCCCACATGGCGCGAGGAGGATCCCTCCCCCTAGCTGCTCGCACGCCGCGCTGACCTCGCTATATATCCCCTAAATTGTCAGCCAGTCGCTGTCGCCCTTCGAGCGATCGCCATAGCAATTGTTGTGCGTTTATATATGTGGAGGGCGCAATCGGAGGAGACTGGATCTGTCATAACCGGTGCAAGGCGAGATACGTTTCAGTCCGCCGTTTGGCTCCCCATTCCGCCTGCTTTGCCCGGTCCCAAACCAAACCACCCCTACCCTCAGGAACTCCCCCGCGCCCACCATTTCCACCTCTCCTCCCTCTGCCCCGTCCTCTCCGCGCGTCGCGGCCCGGCGTCCCTTGAAAAATATCCCGTCCGCCTTATTTGGAGCGAAATGGAGGCCGGAAACCTCATTCCGCTGGCTTTTCGAAGAGTCTGCAAGGGAGAGATATGGGATCTGGTGCGGCGCGTTGCCGCCCGTTGCCGCCCGCCACGGCCGCGCGCACTGTCTCGGGATGGGACCGATTTGCACCGGCGTGCTCGACGCTGATGGAACGGCCTCGCGAGTAAATAAGAGAATCAATGTGAATTTGGGGCTTAGCGGCGTTGTGCAGAAAATGGGAAGGTGGAGATAGGAGACGGAGAGGCTTGCGATCGTGCAAGAAAAAAACCAACATAAAATAAAGTGGTGGTGGCTGACGGGGATCGAGGAAGCTGCTAGATTGTCCCGAAAGATGAGTCGGGGGTGAAATGTATGTCTGTGGGCGTGCGTCCCCGCCCCGCCCGCAGGGCACCCTGCCCGCCCTGCCCGCCCTGCCCGCCCTGCCCGCCCTGCCCGCCCTGCCCCAGATGGCGGGCAGCGCCCAGGGCGGCAGGCGCCCGCCCCAGCCCAGCCCAGCGGAGAGCAAAACCCAGCACGCGTATGAGAGGCACGACCGCCGCGGAAAGGAACTGACGGCACGGAAAAAATGGCCGGATAAAAAGCGACTGATGGCGAGCCGGGGCTTTTCCGGTCGGGGCTGCTGCTGCTTGTGCCGAGCCCGCGTGGGCCGAGATATAGAAGGCTCGGGGGAGGCCGCACCGTACCCGCCTGGTAATCCGGGAGGGGGGCGGTGGGGGCGAGTACTGTTGTGGAGTCCAGGTACTGCGGGCTCCGCCCCTACCTAATCCCGTGTTAACCCCTCCCCCTCCAACCCCTCCACTGCCCCTGCAACCCTCTCCCGGCGGCGAGATGGCCAGCGGCCGATGAGGCCGTGGAAGGGGTTGCTTGTGGGGGTGGGCCGGGGGTGGGCGACCCGGGCGGCCGGGGGGACGTGACCGTGGAGGAGGCTATAGTGTACGGGCGGTCTGCTGTGCATGTTGCCAGTGCGGAATCCATTTTCTACCCCATGCATAAATAAACGCGCTCTGCTCGTATAATTCTGCCGGTCGATATGTGTCGGGTGCCGTCAGTGTTGGGCGGGGCGGGGGGACTTGACTCTGACCTAATGGCTGGGCCTCAGTGGCAGCGGTGGCGGCGGCGCCCTCCCCCGGGAGAGGTGAGGCGCAGGTCCGGTTTGTTAGCGCCGTGTTCGCCCCGGCCCTGGACCGCACCCTCGCTGGCTCTCTCACGACTCTATCAATCAGAGAGCAGGCTCTCACACCCCCCTCCCGGCCCCCAAGGCTCCTCCTGCGCGCACGCGGGGCGCAGACAGACGTGGAAACGCAAGATAAATACGGACGTTCCCTGATGGACATGTCAATATAAATCCGAAGCCAAGTGGCCCCCGGCTGGTCCGCTCCCCCTCGCGCGGAGAGCGACGTAACTATATTTAGCGGGCGCGAGGCGCACCGTGCGTGGCCCGGTAACTTTCTTGCTCGGAGTGTCTCCCCGGCCCGGCGTACCCGTCACGTGACCACGCAGCCCTCGCTTATTATTACCGAGCTGTCAAAACCTCGCGGCTAACTTCTCAATAGGATGCGCCTCTTTTCCAAACTTTTAATGAAAGACGGCGGCGTGGGGGGTGGGGGTGGATTGCGGAGAGGGG